ACACACATACACACATACACATATATGTGTAACAAGAGATTTCACAAATATAGAGAGACATACATGCTTGCATTCCTATACTTGGAGGATCATGGGACTTCATATAACTAGGGTTATCAAGAAGGTAACAATAATAACCCCACCTATAAGGTACTTTCAACCTTATCTGCTTACTAAGTCCCATGACCCTCCAAGTATAAGTATGCTTAAATCACACATGCATACGTCTAGCAAGCCCCAACTCCTGCGACGAAAGTCCCAAACCTGCCTCAGAAGCCTCGTCATCCTGAAACAAAGAGATAGACACCTGCAGCAATCAAAAACCTCTATATAAGGTTGCCCAATCTCTTTTGCTGTAAACCCTAAAACCCTAAACCCTAAATTAAACTCGACAACATCCCAAGCTTTCGTTGAACAGCACTGAAGGCCACTATATAGCCATCCTAGGCCTTAAATCTTCAACCATGAACCCTAAACCCTAAGCCTAAGCACCAAATCGGAGGTTGGCCCCGGTCAAGAGGGTTTAGGGTCGGGGCTTAAGGGGTATAGGCTTTTCTTTTAAATTCGCCCCGGCGATCTTCGAGCTCTCACGGCCACGTCCAACCTGGCCACCAGGACTGTTGCTTGTGTTTGGGAGGGCTGCTTTCTATAAGATCCCGAAAAGGTTTATGGTTGTTTATGGTTGGTGGGTTTGGAGTTTAAGGCTTCAAGGGTTAGGGTCCACGTGAGAGGGTTTGGAACAATTCGCATTGCGAGATGTTCTGGGGTTTGGAAGCTTTAGGCTGCGAGGGTTTAGGTGTGTATATACAATCCGCCATCCACGGCATGTAGGAATGGAATGCAGCTCTTTTTGCAAGTCCCAAGCTTGCTTAAGCCCTAAGTTTTGTAAAACCCCTGACCCTTACATTCCAAACCCCCAATAAGGCTCTAAAGCCCCAATCCAGCCCTCACCCTGAACCTTCTTCATCAGGTTTCACTCGAAACCCTGTTCTTGGAATTGAAGATGGTTGGGCTTTTGTGGTGTCCTTTGAATTTCGGCGCTTTTGGGATTCGCTGAGCCTCGAGTCTTCTGGTGTTATTTAGGGTCTCGATTTTAAGTTTTAGGACTTTAAATACTTTAGGGTTGAAGGGTTTCTATGTCTATGTACATATATATATATATACATGTACATACACACATATACACACATATATATATATATATACATATATATATATACACACACATATATATATATATGTATGTATGTATGTATATATATATATATGTACGGGTGTCAGATCAGCAGCACTCTTGCTCGCAGAGCTGAAGCTTCGGTTTCTGGCACACACAGGCTTTGCTACAGGGCCCTCGCACGGCTGAGCATCCGAACATCCACAAGCACGACTCACCATAAAATCATGTAAAACCCTATTCCCAACTATAGTATCATTCCACACTAAAATCATGTGGAGCCCTATCCCCAATTATACTATCGATTCAACACTAAAACCAAGTAGAACCCTATCCCCAACTATCGTATCGATTCAACACCAAGCTCAGCCATGGTTGGGTCTACCCGCACACACAGAGTGCTGCCCAAAAGCACAACCGGAAAATCAATTGCCGCCCAAAATCCCATAGAGGAGTCGAAACTACCATCACAGCTCATCTTGCCATGTAGGAAGGCAGCACATCTCGATCTAGCTTCGCTAGTTCGTGTTCGCACGGGCAATCCCTTTCGCCGTCTCGACGAGGAGGTTCATGTCGGCAGTAGCTTTGGCGATCAGAAGCATGAAGTCCTGGAGCCCCTTCTTCGTGAGTTCCTTCCCTTCGGGAAGGATGTGGAGATCCGAGACCTGCTGCATCTGGGTCGTGAACAATGTGGCCTTGGAGCAGGCGACTTTCAGCTCGTGGCATTTTTTGTCGTCGATGCCGGTAAGCTTCTTGATGAGATTCATGCCCTCTTTGTAGAGCTTGTTCTGTCACAGGGGAAGTTTATATAAGTTCTGGAGCTTAAGGTTTAAGGGTTTAGGGAGAAGATTGGGCGGGGGTGATGGAAGGGTTCAGGAGAGTTTTATGCGGTTTTGTGGAGTGGTCTTGAAATTAAAGAATTTTCCTAGGGGGTCAGGATAGCAGCTTTTTGTTGAATTGATTTTGGGCCTTGTGGGTTTGGGGCGATGATGCTAAAGACTGTGATTATTCTCACGGCGAGGGCGATGACGATTATGACGTAGCAGAATTAGCTCTCAGCACTGCTATCTTCAGAAACAAACCCAACAACCTTGGAATAGGCCCCACCTAAACCCTCAACCCTAAACCCCTAAACCCCTAAACCCTTAAACCTTAAACCTTAACCGAGTCACTATAA